TGGGAGCAACTCCATTGAAGACACAGTTGTAATTTAATTTCTGATCCACTATAACATCTTAAATCCCTGCCCAACAATGTCTTACTTCCTTCATCTTCTAGCCATCGTAAAGAATAACAGAATAAGAGTTGGAAGGGACTTTGGAGGTCTTCTAGTCCAACCCCTGCTCAGGCATAGCATTTCAGACAAATGCTTGTTCAATCCAGAGGTGGGTTTCATCCTGTATGCACTGGTATGCTTGTACTGCTTCATGAAATTTAGCAGGCCTTCCCGTACCTGAACTTCTGGAGGCCCCATACTGGAACGCTCCCTCCCCTGGCAAAAGGGAAAAAAGCCATTTGAAATTAGCCCGCTCTGCCACTATGCTAAAAAGGTGGGAACCAAGACCAAGAGATAACAGGACGACTAACCATATTTGGTTAACCCCAGAGCGATAAGAGGCTGAATTGGGAGCTCTGTGAATTGGCTTGTAGGACACAGAATGCCGTGGTCATGGGATTTATTGGGCACCAGTTTTCGTTCATAGAACGTATCTATGAAAATAACAGGAAGGGGTGTGTGTATGTGAGAGGGGGAGAGAGAGCAAGTAGGAGAGGAAGGAAGGGGGAGAGATACACACAAGAAAGGAAGGAAGGAAAGAATGGATGGAGAGGGAGAGAAAAAATAGACAAAGAGAAAGAGAAAGAAAAAAAAGGAAAGAGAAAGAAAGGAAGAAAAAGAAAGTGGGAGAGAGATGAAAGAAAGAAAAAGGGAGAGACAAAAGGAAGGAAGAAAAGAGAGGATTTATGACCACAACTGAGCCCAAAATTTTGGTTGCTAAGCAAGAGCATCATTAAGTGAGTTTTACCACATTTTCCAAGTTCGCCATGCCCACACGGTCACCAAGCCATGCCCACCCAGTCACATGACTGCCGAGCCACTCCCACAAAATAGGTCACACCTACAGAATAGGTTCTAAAATTTTTTGAAACCCACCTCTTGTTCAATCTCTTCTTTAAAATTCCAGTGTTGGAGCATTCACAACTTCTGGAGGCAAGTTTTTCCACTGATTAATTGTTCTAACTGTCAGCAAATTTCTCATTTCTAGGTTGCTTCTCTTCTTGATTAGTTTCCATCTTATCCTTCTTCTTGTCCTGTCCTCAAATGCTTTGGAGAATAGCTTGACTCCCTCTTCTTTGTGGCAGCCCCTGAGACATTGGATCACTGCTATCATGTCACCCTAGTCCTTCTTTTCA